ATTACCCGCACAAGCCGCTTAAGTGTAGCTTTCACGGCTTTTTATGAACAAATCTGTTAATCTTTTAAAAAAAACGTCCTGTATCCATGAGAAAACGAGGCCAGAATATCGGAGTTAGGCTAAAAAGAGCAAATGAAGAGTTCATACTAAGAAATGAATACGCTCCAGCAAATGACGGCATCAGTTGCACAATATAATCAATCAAGAAAATAACTGAGGGGTTTGGAATGATTCCGAAAATATCATAAGGCGATTTAGATGCAAAAGAACGCACTGAGTGGGAAGAAACGAGACAAAAGAAGTGACACTTTTGTTGATTTCCACTTACACAGAAATGTTCATTATTTCAAGGGGTACTCCGGTTAATTTCTGAGCTACACAAACGTTTTTGTCTGAGTCATCGACCTTTACCCTCTGTGGTATGCTGTTTGATATCGCAAAATTAAAAATCGGTTTTGTAAAATTGAATATTAAAGTGATGCCAAATCAAACATTCCAATATACCCGCATTTTTTAGTGCCGGGACCAAACTGCAAGGCAACATTCCTGTCTAAAGGGGCAGTCCATAAAATAATATTTAAGTATTGCTTAGTGCTGCCGCTTTGCACCTGGAGCGAACGTTTGAAAAATTCATTTGGCACTATGTATTAAGCTGATTGCAATAATGTGGAGAAAAAGTTCCCCATTCCAATGATTGAACTCATGCCGGGCACAGGCGTATATTGTCGATTTTCGAAACTAAAATCATTCAGTTGAACAAAAAAATCCGTGAGAACCATCATTTTTGTTTCAATAATTTTGTGAATAAAAGTATTTTGGCTTATTATTTTGGTTACAATTTCAACTATTCTTGTTGATTGGTTAGGTCACTTTTGAGGCAAATGGATGACCACAAAAAAGACGCAATCGTACATCTTAAATATACACTAAAAGTAAAAAAAAAGTAATGTTGTGGTTTTGTTTATTCGATGAAACTCGGTGAAGTGCGGTAGCTTCACAAGAACATCGTTAGCGAAAACAATTAGGAAAGGGAATGGTGCGTTTATGAAACGGTTATAACATGTCCTACACCAGGGTATAAGATAGACAGCTGGGGAAACGACCCATAGAAGCCTACCACAGCGTCGTGACCGGATTGTGTACTCGTCTGCTTGCGGGTTCCCCCGATTGGCGACAGATGGCGATGCAACGAGAAGAAAAAAATCGGAATCGAATGTGCATGGAACTCCATGGAAGAGTGCGCAAAATAAACCGAGAGCACGACAGTCCTCCATTAAAAATCCACAAGAAACCATCTCCGTCAATTTAGCCGGTCGCCACCGGTCGGTCCACTGATCTCTATTGTAGTAGGCTGGATCGTGGACCGCGGCCTCGGAAGCTGGGGCAGAGTGTCGCCACCGGCGGCCATTGATTGACACCAGCCAATGCATGGGACTCTATGGGAAGAACGAGAAAAAGTACCGTTTTCCCGTGTTTTTAAGCTGTTTTCGGCACTGAAACTTTTTGGATGCTTTTTGATAAGCCCGTCAAATAGCTTGCGTACAAACGTTAAAACTGGCAGCCCTCGCAGTTCTTATAAATAAATATCTTGTGGTAGAGAGTGACTCCGCTGTAGTGCAGCTTAATGAGGCGAGAGTTACCTAGAGTTACCGCGGAGTCGGTGCCGGTTTCGTTGAGTTGGGTTTATCTGACGACAATCTCGAAGGCTTTGCTACGCGGAATTCGCTCACTCCCGGAAAGCCGCTGTCGAGATGGAACTTCTTTGTCAATCATCAACTCCTGGGCTTCCCTAAGGACGGTCTTATTGACGGCAAGTTCCTTTGTTTGCTCCACTACGAAAGCAAGCTTTCCAGCTCAGCCGTAGGTGCTCCGTTACGTTTGATTTTTTTATTCGGCGACCGTACGTTTGACAAATACCGATTTGATCTCCAAACACCCGACATAAGGATCGCACCGCACCATAAAATACTCGCTTCCGAGCACAGCGTACATGCTTCAATATGCTTACTTTTGTGCGTTTCTCCCATAGACTTGCGTGCATGGCCTGGTGTCAAGCAATGGCCGCCGGTAGCGACACCGACGGGCTCCCGATCCGAGATCCAGCCTACTAAAATAGAGATCAGTGGGTCGCCCACCCGGAGTGAGAGTTCGCGGTGCTCCACATAGATGGCGCCACAGAAAAAGAGAAAACCGAGGGGACTCAATCCGGTCGCTCATTTGGCTCTTGTTTCCCCACCTGTGTATCTTACACCCTGCCCCACACATAATAAAAACGATGTGAAGGACGGCGTCTAGCACGACGTCGAGGACGACGTCCTAGAGGACCACGTCACAGTTGACGTTTAGGATGACCTCTAGGACGGCCTCTAGGACGATCTCAAGGGCCATTTTGAGAACGGCGTCAAGGACGACGTCAAGGACGTAAGGTCGCGTTAGCTTCAGCGCTTATGCGTCGGCGCTCACGCGGACTGAGCTTACGCAACCGGTGCTTACGCGAGCAGAACTCACGCGAGCGGCAATTACGCGACAGGAGCTCACGCGACCGTGCTTACGCGACCGATGCTTAAAACCTTACGGGGACGGCGCTTCAGCCACTGGCGCTACGGCCAGATACGTTAGAGCCACAATCGCTTCTTCCGCGAGCATCTCAGCCACGGGCGTCTCGTTGACTTTGATTATGCGACCCTGCGCGTGATTGAGCATATAAAGCTGCCGCTTTAAAGGGGTAAGAAAACGAAGCGTTTGCACTTTCATTTCTTTGTTTAGATGTGGTCTATGTTGTGCCGGCAGCTCAGAAACACAAGCCTAGAGTAGTGTTCCTTGGCTGCAGGCAGAGAAGTCAAGAAACCTAATTTAAACCGAATGAACACATTTCAAAATTGCGTCTCTTGGCGGTCTGTGAAGCTCCGTAGAAATACCGTCACGTCATGAGTTCCTAAGAAACATCGCCAGTTCGCGGCAGTATGGCTCTCTCGTGGATTTAGTTACTCCTGAATGTGACTTGGTGGAGAATACTCATAGGCTGAGACTGCAACCAAAGCTACAAGGGCCAGCCAGCTCACGATCCTGGCTTGGAGACATCCATTTCTAGCGCGAGCACTTGATCATTCTGCGGAACCACGCTTCAAAGCAGCGACCTGGGCCCGTTTGCTCGAAGAGCTAACCGCGGTTAGCGTTGGCCAAAGTCCCTAGTAGGTACCGAAAGTACCTAGTTGTACCTACGTTGTACCTACTACGAAACTTTAATGGCTGGACATAAAACAAATCCGTCCTTTATTATTGGGCTGGATCCTGCGCCACCTTGTGCTGAAAAAAATAAATCGTTATTTTTTTATGATACAACGTTTGCTTTATGGGAACCGTTTTCGGCTGAATCTAGTTGTAACTTGCAAGAAACGTTTGCTCAATTGAAAAGAAAAAGGATAGTTTCTTTTTTGCATCGAAATTCTTTCTTTCGAAGTGTGGAAGCGTAGACAAGACACCTAGTCAAAGTGCTTTGCAGTTTTCCGTGGTCGTGTTTTGCAAAAAGCAAGTGCGTCGACCGTCGCTTCCAAGTCTGGCAACGCCGTGTGTGCCGTGTCGCGTGCACGGCGTTTGTTTATGCAACCAATTTCGCCTCGTTGCACGCGACGCGCGTTTCTCGTTTTTGGTTATCATCTGAGTTTTCCTGTCTGTATTCTGCCCTTCGACCGACCGACCCACCGACAAACCCTCCGACCGGCCACGGACTGACTGATAAGATTTGCGGACCGATTTCCGACTTTGCTACCGAGCAGAATGTCCAACGCAAGGAATCGCCGACACAGAAGAGACCGCACGGACGCGCAGTACGCAGCGGCAATGATGAGGCGACAGCGTGTGCTGGGGGACCGCCTGAACCCCTTTGAGGATTTCGACGAGGATGGGCTGCAGCAACGGTTCCGATTTGGAAGAGCGGGCATAATGTTTCTCGCCGACACACTGCGTCCGGACTTGGAGCGCCGTACACGTCGCAGCCGCGCCCTCTCTGCGGAGCAGCAAGTGATCATCGCCTTGCAGTTCTACGCAACTGGGAACTTTCTGATCACTGCAGGCGACTACATCCGCGTGCATGTGTCAAGTGCTTCACGGTCTGTGAGGCAAGTCACCGTAGCGCTGGCTCGTCGAGCACAAGACTTCATACGGTAAGGGTCCTTTTTTTCCCCTTTTAATTGTAGTTTGCCAGCCGTATTGAAGTAAAGTAAATACACTAAAAATATATCTGAATTGCTGGTGATAGGGATGTTTTGTAGGTTGCCTTTTTATGGCAGTAATATTCTACCTACTGGTAACCAGCCCTCCCCGCCCCCCCTTTTCAATAGAAAAAAAAAATGATTACGGCCGTAAGCGGCCTACTTGCCTGATTGGAAAGGGCCCGGTCACGCCATTTTTCTGAGAAACCTCAGAAAGCGACCCGTTTGCACTTTTGGTAAGGACTTGCACCGAATCACAGTCACTTTATAGGTCTTGGTAACTGAACAAAAATAAAAAGGGATCCTATGAAAACATGCAAACTTCACTATTAAATAGGTGCTACTGAGGCACTTTACTGCTACCACATACTTGAAGGGCACAGCCAAAGTCCTTAGCATTCCTCATTAAAAAGGTATTCATGAGCATTGTAGCTGTAAGTTTGCTATATGTGGTTTAATTGCTGAGGGGATCAACGACGCAGATGGCCTGACGCTGCGGAGGGGGCAGCCTTGCAGCACAAGTTCTACGACATGGCCGGCTTTCCTTTGGTCGTGGGTGCTGTTGACGGTACCCATGTCCGGATCCAGGCACCCCATGTGCACGAGGAGGCGTACGTCAACCGCCATGGATACCATTCCATCAACGTACAGGTGGTCGTTGACGCCTCTTCTCGGATTTGCAACGTGGTTGCAAGGTGGCCTGGAAGCACCCACGACTCTCGGATCTTCACGGAGAGCACCTTGGCAGTCAAGCTGGCCAGTGGAGAGTACGACAGCCTGCTGCTTGGTGACAGCGGCTACTCCTGTCAACCATGGCTGATGACGCCATTCCTGTCGCCGTCATCAGCAGCCGAGGTCGCATACAATACGGCACACACGACGACAAGAAGCATTGTTGAACGGTAAATCTAGGCCATATATTGTGAAGGGCACAGAGATATTCATGCAAGGCATTTCGAGACGACTAGCTGTCTTGACGTAATATGTGCAACACGTGCATGCTCCTTACGTCTATTGCTATTCTTTATGGCATAAAAATATTCATACAAATTTGTATATTAATCTAACGAAGCATAAAATACCGTGGTTTTATGTAAGCAAGATGAAAGTAGTATCCTGAGATTACGAATCAATACAACTTATAATAGCTGCCTAGGGTTCTGCGGTTTCAGTTTTTATTTCTCTGGAATCGGCATACTTTTTTAGGTTGTTATTGTGAGTATGAAATTTTCAGTTTTTATCGATGAATATTTTTAGTCGAAAGCTTACTGCCTTTTTCCGGTCGATATCTATTGACCAGTTACGTTTTTTTTTTAAGTAGGTTTGTCGAGAATGCAGTAGATTAGGTTCATATCTGAGTTATTCGTCAAGCGGCAACACTTGCGAACATGGCAAGCGTAACCTTGGTTATACATGTGCTGTGACGACAAATTCTTAATCGCAAAATTCGCCAACGTAATGCTTGGCACGCTTCTGTGTTCTTCACATGTGGAGGACTATTGAAGCTGCTTTCCTCTTACCAGATAGCACCTTGAGAGAGGCTGTTTAAACAGCTTTGTTTTTTTTTTGTTTTTTATGCTCCCTACAATAGGAACAGAATGACATTCCATTCCTCCGAGAACAAAAGTAAGACCAAATGGCTTGACAAACAATGAAAACGCTCCAAATCCGCCCTCTAGACGACCACAGCAAACTTGATGGACAAAGGAACGCAAATTGCATCGATGACAAACCCAAATACTTCCTAAAGTGTGCTTCCAACAGAATAGTTTGAAAGCACGGAGATAAGATATTTGACTACTCGGTCACATGCTTCTATACTCTGTTTACTCGGTCACATGCACCTGTAATGGTCTAAAGTACTGACCATTTAGGTTTAAAATCAAACTTTCGAAAATTACCTCACCACACTTTATTGGGTTTTATCGCTTGAGACTGAAAATGCAGAAACTCAGTTATGTCTTAGGTCCCCAGGACTGGCAATAATGGGGAAAAGCACTAAACTCACCTCAGGTGCCAGTGCTACGCAAGACCCGGACAGAAGTTGATATTTTGTTAATTGGACAAAAAGAAGCATTAATGACACTGGAATTTTTTTCCTAGACATAGCAGTGGAAGTAACACTGTGCCTTGGCACTTTCATATGTCTACTTTTTGAAATGTCAGTTTCGTGCTGTTTAATGGAAACTAACTAAACGTGCTAGATATGTATGTGCTCATATTGAGTGCACAAGTACAGCTAAGCTCGTGCGTGCTAAGATGCGTGTGATCCAAAAATAGCGGCACATCGCTGTAAGTCGCAAACAATTGTGTGTTGCTGACCGTCTTGACCGATTGGCCAAGAGTACATGCCTAGCATGACCTATTCTGCTCTCATCGATGGATTTAAGAGTAGTGCCAAGGCATCATTTTGGACAATGTTGAAGTTGAGCATGCAATAACAAGTTTCCACAAATAGTCTCTAGACACCATCTTACACGTCATTCACGACTGATGATGAGTCGCTGCAATCTCAAATGTTCAGGCAAATCTTGCTTGGGATTCCGTTGTGAAAGCGCCATAAGACCCTCTACCAAAACTTTTGCTGCATGCGTCCAGGAGCTTCCACTTGAGTCAGAAATGGCGGTGCGTGGACCACTAACTAATAGGAACACTAGCGGCACAATCAAAGGGTAGGAGTACTTGGATAAGGCGTTATATCAAGTGCTTTACGTCTTACATCTCCCAGACCTACAAGACGGATTCTTATTGATCAATGACAAAAGTAGATGGGTTGCGCTTCCACGAACATCTATTCCTGGAGAGTGGAAGGGGAAAGGCTCAACAAGACAAGAGTCTGGCTCTCTTTCTCTTTTCACGCTGTCTCACAAGTAACATGTAGAATGAAATTTTGATGGTACTGTATTTGTTGCAGTATAAAGCTTGGTTACAAGTTAATTCTTACAGCGTTGGCAGCAATCAGGTAGCAAAAAATTCTAACATATTGGCCTGTGCATATGCAGGTGTTTGCTTGGAAGCATATCCACGAAACCCTTTGAGGATAGCGCTTGAATAAAGCTGCACTTTGCTTGTTGCTTTCTATACAACACATTGCACAGGCTAACCTCAGGTGACCCCGGATGTGAACGCAGTGTAAAAATAACTCGGAAGGAAAATAAAATGGTATGCATAATGCCCAGCTTTCGATATCCTGGAGCAATGGGCTGGAGCTTGGGCTGGAAAAATTAGGAGGTGTGATATCGGGCACGGCAGCCAATTTGCGATTCGAATTCAGCTGTAAATTTGTCCTTGTTGCGTGTCACCCTCTTGAGTATTTGCGTTCCACGCTGTTGTCCGATTTTGCTATTGGGTTTCTGGGAAGGAATAACATGTGGTTTTGATCCATGCGCTCTGTACAGGACAATCGGCCAACTCAAGCGGAGGTTCCATTGCCTTCACGCTGAGCTCCGAATGGCTCCAGAACGGTGCTGCGACATCATTGTCGCGTGCTGTGCCCTCCACAACCTGGCCAAGAGGTACCCCTGCAGGGCACCCGTGGCCGCCATCCCCGCTGAGGTTCCCGTTGAGCCCGTAGCAGCCAACCGTGCTGAGAGCAACGAGGCCCGAGACTTTATTGTCAACCATTTCTTCGGCTAAGTGTAAGTGTCTGGATAGGTATCTTCTGGCTGTCCATTTCTAATGCAAGATGCTTTGTTATGATCGTGGCTATTGCTTTCAGCTTTTGTTTATCAGGCTTTGCAGATAATTATAAGAAAATTATGTCAGACAGTTGTCTAACTAGATCAAATAATTGCTTGAAATAATATTTATTGTTTTGCTACTTAAACATCAATTGTATTTTTGGAAACTGCAACAGTTAGGGGCTCAACCGTGCTGCACAGTTAGCAAGAAGCCAACAGCTTTGAGATATTGATTAATTTTATTTTAAGCTTTTTTTGTATGATCTAACTGGATGTAAGATTATCATAAGTTCTACCCAAAATAACCCATAAAGGAGTGTGACACATGTGACAATGCTGAAAGTGTGTTATCAACATGACAATGACATTCCAGCAATGCATATATCACTCTTGCACAGATCAATTTGGGTAGTGCTTGCAGATATCCCACATAGAGTTTCGAAATTTGGATGATAGAAATGTAAAGAATGATTGATGCACATCCCCTTATACCTGTTGCTTCCATAGCAGTACGTGTAAATTGCAGCATGAGCGACGAAATAAGTAATAAAAAAAAATGTTCTTACTTCCCGCATTATTGTTGCAAAGGCTTTGATAGCTCGAAATGTGTCATTTGAGGCACTTAAAATTAGCTTGTTGGAAAGAGAGTGCTCGAAAAAAATCCCTGCCGAAGCTATTGGTCAAACGGGAGTGCAGTGCAATGTCCAACACTCCTGCAATCGCACGCTGCAGCTCAACTGCTTGTTACTGCTTTGGTCTCCTCCCCATCAACTCCTGCACTCTCGCAGAGCTACAAGCATAGGCACACACGGGCTCTCTTAAACTAATAGATTTTGAATTTGATTTCCGGAGTTCATAACAATGCACTTTTCAAACTTCTAACTAATGACACGAGGGATGCTTCTTCAAATTTGTGCACTTCTTCGCACTCTCTGGAGCTCTCTTTTTATATTGTCATTATTTTTTGTAATACATTTCCCACACCGACGATGCTTTATGGGAAGTGCTGAAGTCAGCCCTATAACAGACTATGTGTGCAGAGTTTATAATGAGGCAACTGAAGAAGACAGTTATTTTCCCATTCAATATCTACAAACTGATACTATTTAATGGGTACAGGAGCATGAATAGGAGAGTATAGTGAAACAATGTTCATTTGATACCAATTTCAAAGCTATCAGTACAAATTATATATACTACCCGATAGAATGTTCATTTTTCACTGCATACTCATGGTTACTAGCTCATAGGATTTACATAGTGTACGCTTCTGAGTGTTGAGCCATAACACCTTTCACAGGTTTTTCCAACCTGCAAAGCTTTTCTCTCATTTTTCACAAACCTCCTAGGGTTAGTTCATATTTTCTTCATCCTGGCTGGCATGATAACACCATTTGCAAAACATTTATTTTTAGTAGGGCATTGACCAGAGAGGAGCTTTATTGTACATACTACACTCTCATTAATTCAAACTCCAGAAAGTCACATGTTTTAGTTGGATATATATGATACTAGACAACATTATGATTTGTTACATGGATAGCGATATATACAAAGCAGATTTTGGCCAGTTTCCTCTACATAGCACAGTAGCTTGCTTATAGTTAATGCATAACTATAAGCAAGTACAGGCATAACACATTTGTGAAAGAACTGTGACTAAGTTTATACATCCGGCAAAAACGTCGTCAATTGTGGACTGTTTAGTCAGCACATGAGATCTCAAAACAAAATTTTCAATGCCAGCCAACGCAAGTAGCTCTTTACGGGACTTTTCCTTTGCAGACAGAAACTTCCGGAGCTGAGCGATGTGCTCAAAGGCCTCTGCGGCTGTGACAGTTCGTAGTGGGTCATCCATTTCTTCATCGTCATCTTCACTGTCACTGCTGCACTGTGCTGGCATTACTTTCCGTACTATGTCCTCTAATGAGTCATCATGACAAACACACACATCGTCGTCAAGACTAATATATTTCGCCTGCACGGCGTTCACATTACGTGTTTCAAGGCCAGAAATCATGATGCCAGTGAGCTGTGCCTCGTCCTCGTTGTCGTCTTGGTCATCATTGCTAGTCTTGAAGCACATAATGTGAACGCCGTTTTCCGTTCATGTGTGCCGTTTTCGCTTAATTCATAGTTTTTTGTTCTCGCGGCCCCGTTGACTGCGCTTCTTTCCGAGCACTGGTGCACTGCGGAGAAGACACTCGCAAAAGCAAGCTCCGCAGGTATTGCTTCTCTGCGGTGCACCGGTGCTCGGAAAGAAGCGCACTCAACAGGGCCGCGAGAGCAAAAAACTATGAATTAAGCGAAAACGACATTCGAATTAAGTGGCTTATAAATACATAAAAAAGCTTAGCGGGACAACCAAAATTTTTAAACCTGTTTGAATTAACTGGAAGTATGAAATATCCGAGTTCGAATTATCGCGAGCCTACGTACAAGCAGCAAGTAGATTTCAGCTCCAAAAAACTGTTGTGTTAGATAACAGTGTATTTTTTTTCTCGGTTGTATATCTATTCTGTGCGGACAAGTGATCACTTTGTGTTTTTATGTATGTGTGTTATTTCCCACCCCTCCTACAATAATGCCCTCGAGGCGATGAAGGTACTCTTTAAATAAAATAAATAAATAAATAAATCAATACTTAAAGAACAAGGTAAGTGGGGACGATTCAAAGTAATAAGAGTTGAAGACCCGGGGCCCCAAAAGGTGACACACGCGACAAAATGATGTAGTGTTGTGTTTTATCCCTTTTTCTGTTCCTGAGTTTCGGGATATTCTTAGTATGAAATTTTTCGTACATAAGCAGCACACAGTCCATAGGTCGCAGGAGCATATCCAGGCATAAAGAGCCTTTATCTTAAAAGCAGAAGGAATATTTGCAGATGCAAGTCAGAAAGTGTCTGTGGTCCACTCATCGATTACTCGAACATTTTCTTAAAACACAGAAACTCGACCTTGGTCTTCTGCCGGGAGGCTAATCGTCTTGGCGACCTCCTCTCTTGAGCTGTGACGGGGAGCCGCGTTATGAAAGGGAAATATGTGAAGGGATATAGGAAAGAAGGAATTATACATCTGCCTTTGAGCTTAACCCATATTTTTATTTTAGGTATCTATGTAAATTATGTGCCACCTACGGGGTGTCGAAAGCCTGGGTGCCATACTGCCAGGTATGATATTCTGTTGCTTTCTTAACCACAGCGTAAAATATTGCGATCAGAACAACCACGCTGGTCCAGTGTGTAGGGATAGTCAACGACATGGAAAAGATTGTGTGCAAGCTTCCCTTGTAGATAGCATGCATAAAATAAATGAAGTGTCAAACATACCGTGTTTGCACGATTCTAACGTGCCCCCGATACTTACATGCAGGCAATTTTAGCTCCCAGATATCGAAAAATTTAATTGCTGCCGATTCTACCACGCAGGTAAAGTAATGCACTTTGAACACCCATACCTCATAAAACCAATTTTAGGAAACGCACGGCAATACACAACATAAATACTGCCCACAAGTTTCTGTTGTCGGAATCTGGCAATTGGTCTTCGCTGTCCACAGACTGCAGAAGGTCATCCTTGCTTCCGTCTGAAGCGTTTGAGGTGCCGTCCTTCTTGCGCTTGAACGAGTGAGCAACCGTTGCCTATTAGAGGGACGTTTTAGAGTGCAGCTCTTAGGCGCTCGTTTCCGGCTTGAGCGCCGTCGCCGTCGGCGTAACCGCCGGTGCATGATGGGTAAATTTCTCCGCTAAATCTAGCGGAAAAATTTCTCCGCTAAATCTAGTGAAAAAATTTCCCCGCTAAATCTAGCGGAAAAATTCACCCGCTAAATCTAGCGGAAAAATTTCCCCGCTAAATCTAGCGGAAAAATTTGTCCGCTAAACCTAGCGGAAAAATTTCTCTGCGGGGTCATGTGACCTGGGGGTCATGTGACCCCCACCCCCTCCTCGAGGTCACGTGACCCCCCTCCCCCTCAGTACCCTTCCCTACTCCTCCTCAAGAACTGCGCTCTAATTCGGCGTTACAGAGTTGTAAACGGCCTTCACTTTTTTTTTTCATACAACACTTCGCGAGCACATTGGGTCGCTGGGATTGCGAGGCTACGCAGTGTCGCTCCGTGGTTATCGTTTCCCGTCAGTGTGATGACATAAAGGCGAAAGAACGCGCGATACGGATACCAAAATATCTAATGTAAACAAACGGTCACCAAGGTGATTGGGCTAGCTGCCTTGCGTTTTTCTTTTGAGTTTTGGTTTCAATTCTAAGTGCATCTAATTTTAGGCACCGATTTTGGCAAAAAAAAATGTGAGCGTTATAATCGTGCAAACAAGTATCTAGGTCAGAAAAAACGCAAAATATGTATACAACACAGCGACAAACAATGCAAGTAGCTCATTACATAAGTTAATCTGTCCTAATTGTCTTTTTATCAGTTCAATTTGCAGCTGTGCTCGGGTGGTTTCAAGTCTAATGAGTTCTCTTTGCTCTCTGAGCACTTCCTCCCCTATAGCATAGAAACTCCGTGCAGCATCTGCTGCAGCGATGGTTGCGTTTGCAGCCTGTATGGCCCCATTTGTGTACTTTCTCTCAAGGAGTATATTCTCATGCTCCAGATCCTGCTGTCGCTCGGCCCTTCTCTGGTACTGCTGTGCAGCCTCACGGGTCCAGCGCTGGTTGTGCTGCACAACAGGTGAGGCCAGTGTTCTCTGTGCTGCGTCGTCTTCAACTGTACTGCTGCCAGATGACGAGGGTGGCGGCGTCGTCACCCTTTCCGTGCAGCTGCTGTAGTGACACGCATGACCAGGAAATTGTTTGAGGTTAAAGGGATACTACAACAAAATTTCGGGTTTCATTTTTTGGTCTATATGTGTTCGAAGGAGCAGTATCACATCGAACACAACAATATCTTGTTAAAAAAGTCACGAAAAGTAATTTGAAAACGAATTAAGCGATTGGCAAAGAGCACCAGGTGGATGTCGTTAACGCCTCGTTTGTAATGCCCGTCTAAGAACCTTGACAGCTAGTGACGGTAACTGTCTCGCCTCCGGCTACCACAATAGAAGAGGGGAAGGAGGAACTCTCCTCTTCCAAAGAATCCTTTTTGTATGTCCCAGAAGTTGCTATTGTCCCCCTAGAAGATTATAAAAGATTAACCCGTCACTCAAAATTCGTACAAAAGCAGCCGCTTTGGTGGCTGGAACGACTAGGCCACCCTCTCGACGTCAGCCTCGTCGCAGCTTTGCTCGTCCCGAGACGAACTACGTCACGATTGCGTTGGGTGTCACATGCTCTCCGCTGGCTGTTCTCCGAGCGCTTGTCAGGGTGGGCCGTTTGTAATGAAAACTATAGCCACCAGGTTCAAAATACAAACGTGCGATTGTCATTTAGAGATACAGTGGATCATATTCAACCTATTTTTGAACACGACGGGTATATTTTTAATTTCGTTGAGGTATCCCTTTAACGCATAAGCCTTTACAACGATTATCAGCAAACTTAAAATCCCAAGTCACTGACTGGCTGTGGATGGCAGCCCGAGGTACAATATTGTCCTGCGTAAAGTTAATGCTCGGGACGTGTTCCGAGCATGCGCAGTGAGAAAAATGGCAGCTCACAGAGGGCTATTGTTGGGCAGGAGTGAACTTGTAAATTTCAGCATAACTTGGCAAACTGCAAGGGCTACAGCTCCAGAGAGCTGCTCAGAGCATTGAAGCAAAGGATTGTGACTAGACACCATACTCGTGCACGTACGTCCTCCGTGACATGATTCTCTCCGTCCTCTATCTCTCCAAGTGATGCATGAGGGCTGCAGTGCATGACATTTTTGACGTCACCCTAAATCAGAGTACATCAATGTGTGGGAGAACTGAGTGCAACGTGCGGCAACCTTAATCCAGATGTGACAGTAACACGTGTCATAATTTTACCACATATGTTGGTTGTACAACAGACTGGAGTGCCTAACCCCACAACTTCGTTTCATTGGTGGTTGGTAGAGTCGCCATATAGACATTTGTACAAGATTTAAAACAAGTAGATGTGGCACACTCACACCAGCCGTCATATGTGATTATTGTGTACCCAAGCTTTGTCCGGCTAACTGGGACATTGATACTTTTTCAGATTTTGTTGGCACAGATCAGCATCGAATAAGTCATTGGTGCATTCTCAACTTAATCTCATAAAAGTTACCAAAAAAGAATGGATTTTTGCTACGTTAGCAGGCATGTACGAAGATCATGCAAAAACATTTCCACTGACAGTGGAAAAATTTGGGTATTGAGTGACCTGACTTAGAAGAAAATAGGTGATCTCAACTTGAGAGAAAGACTACCATAGCTTTGTTGATTATGATGTAAATATTTCTTTGTAATTTTGTGGTACAAATAGTTTCAAACTGTGAGTTTTACTGCATTTACCCTAATAAATGGTTTTATTGGCACTTTTTCAGCAGTGCAGAACTGGCTAAATATGTGAAGGTGGTGTCCTTGTGCTGTGTTCTGTTCTCTACTGGACAGGTTTTGACTCGTGCTCCTAATATTGTCGTTTTGCTTCATGAAGTTGGCCTCTATGTAAGGGCACGCAGCAGTAGTGTTATGCAGCTGACATGTCCACTTTGAGATGTAAAACCAATATATTATTTTATGACAATCCAAACTGTTCCCTATGCTCATCAATGTTTTCTAGGAGCATGCCAACAATTGGTGACTTTTGATATGCCTTGTGTCTGTGCTCAGTTTCATACCTATCATCAGTGACAGCAGAACATCCCTATCATCAGTTTCATAACTATCATCTTGTGGAAGTACTCATAATGTGACGAGCAGAACAGAAAAAGAATGCACCTTCAGCGCGTGCTCATTCTCTTCTGCTGCTTGTGCATCCTTGTGCTGTCACGGCTAGTAAGCTGTAACTGGGTGCACAGCTTCCACTGTACTATCGCCTTCATTGTCACAGTCTACATACAGTGTGCAACGATATCAAACTTGTAGGCGTAAGGGTGGGCCATTCAATTAGCACAAGTAAGGTGATTGACGAAGCCACGTGCTCATACCTACAACTTTAGTATTGTAATGTAGAAAGTATCAACAGGAGCATAGCATACACAGCATGGCCTATAAAGTGTTACCTACTTTTCGGTGTCACCGATGATGACGTCAATCCCACAGATAGTCGGGGAATCGTCCCTGATCACATTTAAAACAGCCTCGACAAGTGGTGTCAGCTGATGGGGGTTGGGACCAGCACCTATGAATTGAAGTACACTTATTTTGTTTACTACGATGTAAGCACAATTAAAGGTGGGGGAGGGGAGACAGGGTGTTCATTATTCAACATAGTATCAATGTGCGAATGAACAGAAAACGCGTAAACATGTAATTGCCAATAATGATAAGATTTTTTTCTTACCTTCGTTTTTTTTTCACCCTCAGGTTCCTATTATCCGGTCTCGGGTAATATGTGATGTTGGGCAATTTATTTCTTTTTTTTTTTTTTGACAGCAAACTCACTGTTGCCAGCTACCGGCTAGCCTGGCCCACTCTGTGCCTGAATCGGTTGCGTCGGAAGTGTTTGAAACGTGGAGGGGCGACGGGGCACCTGAGATTCACCCTGCCCCCTTTTGCAGCATTGTTTACTGCAGCTGTCTGAAATTTCAAAGGGGGCGGGGGGGGGGGGGGAGGAAGGGGAAGGGGGTCTGAAGCCCCCCTGCCCTTGTTCCCACGCTACTTGCCTACATACATTTTTCTTCTGTGTTTAGTTGAACAATAGTGTCTACATTGTTTACAGTGCTAAAGGCAATGTTTTTGGCAAGCAAAATTTGGACATTAATTTTGAGAAATTACGCAGGCCCACTGCGTGGAACAGGATCCAAGGTGCTTTGGGGCTATTTCTGTGTTAGTGCCACTGTGTTGAAACTTGTGCGAGTAAGAGCTAATTAATCTTTGGGCTTGCCCTCTCGTGATATTGAGCGAGATGTTAGTTGTCGCGCATTGAATGGGGTCTTCGGTTGAGATATTTCCCCCAAAAATTTGAGGGGCTAATATATCACTCTCTAATAAATTTGTACAGTGCACCCAAAGTTTCCAATAAAGATTTTACAAATATCGCCTTTTTTTCTGTTTTTGTAGCGCAAATATTGAAACTTACCTGTCCGTTGGTCATGTTCTTTGTACAACCTGTACAAAGTTCGGCACTTTTTAAGTAATTTTCTCCATGCTTCTTGAAGTTGTTTCACTGAACGCGGAACTTGGTGGCGGCGGGTCATGGAATTGGCTACTTGGTCCCAGGCGCGTCTTTTGGTTTTAGTAGTCACGGTAGGGCCGAATTTTCCCAGGATTTGGTATTTTCGAGCCTCAACTTCCCGGACTAATTCCAATTTTTCATCTAGGGTCCAATTCTTTTGACGCAGCGGCGCGGTCCCCTTTGAGGTAGTCGCTCGGTTCATTTTCGTTTGCAGAAGGAGCATGATCGTCTGCGACCTTGGTTTGTTTATCTACACAATTGCAACATTATTCCTGCTAACCGTAAAATATTTTTTAGAAGCAACGCGAAATAACAAACAAGTGCATTTCCAACAACCTCAGTATTGTTTATTTCTCGGTTCTACAACTTTCGCAGACGGCACAACGGAGTTGATTCGGAAAAACTGCATGTACAGTCGCCGGCCATATGAGCTCCCTCGGCCGAACGCCGACCGGAGCAGCGAAAATCCCGCATGGGGCGCGTCAAGCGTTGCCCCGTTTTGGGAGCCGGGCTATTGGGACCAAACCATTCCGTTATCAAAGGGGTGGACGTAGGAAGTTTAATAGCAATCCGCGTTTTGGAACGTGAATCTGAAGCACGGCCGATTACAATCCCTCTTCTGGTTGTAGGTAAACGCAGACGGCTTATCGAAATTCTTCACTACATAATATCTCTGACGTGTTATATGCTACTTTGTTATTTGCAAAACCGGTTTGTCATTTTAGATATTTCCTACCCGAAGAGTAGTCCTACGCACAAGCCCCCCTTTCTTACAATCTTTCTTATACCTAGAATAGACAATGATAAGCGATTTTGAAATAATTTAGTTATGTTATAAGGATATGCTATACATAACAAAAAGAAAATATTTGTGTCGAAGGAGAATAAAGATTCAGGCACTTTTCATGAACGCGATTTATCGAAGAGACTCCATTGTTCTGCGCTCAGTAGCGTGTTGCTTCGCCAAGGGTAATTCTCTACACGATGACTTTGCAGATGGCTTCCTGGTTGTTCACTTCTCGCTTTACGAGGGATCATTGTTGTCATGCCTAATATCATATCAAACATAGGGTTCTTACATTTGTAAGCATCGATCGAACACTGCTGCTTTATCTACGCCTAAGGCAAGCTCCAGTTTATCAGCAGTTATAACATCATCTCCAAACACTTGCGGCCAACACCCGAAAACGGCAATTCTAATCGCCCATGTTTTTGTGATTCACACTTCTAAAGGCTGGAATCCCGATAAAAGCTATGCGTCTACCCCTTTGATAAAGGAATGGTTTGGTTCCAATAGCCCGGCTCCCAAAACGCGGCAACGCTCGGCGCGCCGCGTGCGGGATTTTCGCTGATCCTGCCAGCGTTCAGCCGGGGGAGCTCATATGGCCGGCGACTGTACCGGCTTTCTTGGAGGGCGAGTGAATTGAACGATCGGCAGGTCACTGGT